AAAAAAAAGTGTCTGTATCTAGGTCCCTGGCAGTGATTTGCCTCTGGGAGGGCCAGCAATCTATTTAATGACTCCATTGACGTCAATCGCATAACTGAAATACTTACTAACATGCATGATTCCAGCTTTCAGGGGGAGGGGATGGATGGCGTCTCTCAGCAGCTCGAAAACGTGATATGGAATCATGAGGAACGGACTTGGCTCTTTCTGCAAGTACCGAGGGACTAGATGCTGCTGGTCCCCCAGATCCCATTTAATATGAGAAAAAGTTTTCCTGCTAAATGAAGAAATTAATTCTGAACAAGTCAAAGCGGCCATTAATAAGCAAGACATTATTTTTGGCCGTGTTTGCTCAAAGGAAACATTTTAACCATTCAGAATTCAGCTGACACACTAATGATTTTGTAGTTACCCATACTTAATTTTAGACATATATGAAATAATTGCAAATCAATGCAGACAGCTCAGTGTTTGTGTTCTGGGGTAAACTTTTACAGGATGTCTATTTTAGACAAAGGAGTTTCTTTCAAACTGTTTAGGGAACTATACTGAGAATTGCCCAGTTTTTCTTGTGTAGTTCTATTCTACGATTTCATTTTGTATGCAGGCTCTTTACACATTCACAGTGTGTAATTATACAGATTGTCCCAGCAATTCAGGTCACACACATCGTTCTGAACACTGAAGAAAACGTCTGTCATTTTTATTTTCCCTTTTTCTTTTTGTGATTTCCTCCAGGATCTCCTTTATCCTGAGTGGTCAGAACCTTTGATAAGATGATTGATCTTATTTCTGTTTGCTCAGGCTGTAATCCTGCCTGATGCTTCTTCTTAATGCAGAAACCAAGCAAAGGTTCGACTTGGGCTAACCTTCCTTTCTAGTCATCTGACATGGATCGGATTGGCTTTCAAGCCATAGTTGTCCTCAGAGGGCCTCAGGGGGACCTCTGCCTGTCTACACCAGTCCCTCTCTCATCCTAGACCCAGGGAGTTTTAGCAAAGCCTTGACTTTCCGTGTGTTGTTCGGGGTCAGAGAGAGAGTACTGAGCCTCCGCTCTACTTCTTAAACAAAATGTACATCTGGTACATCTACGGAGATCTCAGAAACAGTCAAAACCAAGTGAAGACACATGAGGAGTCATGTGGAGAAATGGGTTTCCTGAGAGGAGGCCTCTTCTTCGCTTTATCAGCTGGTAGCATCATCCCTTCCAGTGTGGCCCAGAAGCCTATTAGAAGACATGGGCTCCCCGGAGCCTGGGAAGAACCTTAATTAAGGCTGTTGCTTGGAGAGGTCAGCACATTTCACGCTTTACTGGAAGACTTATGCTTCCTCATCCTATTTCTCCAAATACATTCTTTCCTTGAAATATATTTTAATTGACTCCTGTTGAAAATCACCACAGTTCATGCTGCAGACACTCAAGCTGAGACAGACGCTGTGTCTGCAGCAGTCTGGCCTGGAGACCTCCAGGCAGTTAGTTCTTCGGTTATCTCGTCAGCATGGTTGGTTGCTATTTCGGATGATCCATCTACTTCTGGGTTACTTTAAAAATATAAGGTCTGTTACAAGTGGTGATCTTCACAATTTGTACAGCCACTGGTACATTTCAGAAAAAAATGTTATCATAGGACACCCTACTTCACACGTCCCTCTGGCAGTTACAAAATTCTATATAGGATACATCTTGCTGTAAATCAAGTCATTTATGTGACTCAGAGGTGAGAGTTACTAAGAGCAATACTTCTCTGATCCTTTTGTATAGAAAAAACCCTTCTGCAAAGGCTGTGGCCACTTAGTAATTTATCTTCTCAGTAGGTTCTTTAATGACATAGTCAAAAGCATGGATGAGATGCATGAAAGAGCTTAGGACAGAGGGTGTGGGGACAGTTGGACAGTTGGACATAATCACATGAATACAAACTGATTCATCTTTTCAATTATCTTATTTGTTTGCAGTCTTCCATTTTGAATATGACCAGGTGAAAGAATTTGGGTTCCTGCCTTGTTTTAGACTTTTCTTTCTTTTATTCATTTTTCCCTTTTTGTTTCAAGGCTATCCAGAAAGAGCCAAGAATTTACACATTCAAAAGAAAGTGATTGTGTTATACAAGTTGAGCTGCTCATGAACCTCAGCCTTAGGATTTTCAACACACTCAAGAGGATTTCCCGTGACTTCCCAAACCTGTGTGCACAGGCTTCAGAACTGCTCATTCTGGGCTCATCCCTCCATTATTGTATGGTGGGTGGCTTTCCCACATCATTGGCAAAATGTCACCTTCTGAGGCATTACCCTTTCTAACCTGCATGAACACACTGACACCTGAGCAGTTACCAAATTCACCCCAATACCTTCTAATTTCAACACAGTAAGTGATACAGCTTATGAGAAAAAAGAAAAAACCAGAAGTGAGTACTTTCCCTAGACACAGAGATATTGGCTCATCATTACCTTTATGAGACCATTCCTTTAAATAAAGTCCAACTTGTACGTAGTTCTGACTAGTTTGACATTTACCCTGTTCCTACCATGCAGAAATAATTTACCACACTGTGACCTCCAAGAGATGAGAAATGTGCAGCCTGTGCCTTCAGGAGCTTGGGTTCCCAGTGGAAGAGGTATACAACTGAGGAATCATAGCGCATCCGCAATTAGTTTGTTGCCATAGCACGGAACAGGAGAAATTACGAAAAATAAAAAAGACTGAGCTTTTCTGTTGAGCCCCAAGAGCTGAGAATCTCCTTGGTCCAACAGTGGGAGGGAAGGTAAACAGACGTATACCAGGAGGCTTTTTTCACACCGAGGGATTGCCTCACCCAAAGTTCCAATTGTTCAGTAACAATCATAGTCAGTGTAGGAATCTCACCTGGATTTGGAGAATTCACTTTTACAGAGGATCACATTTCATTGATATGAAGGAAGAAGCAGCAGAAGAGGAAGAGAAGGAGGAAAAAGAGGAGGAAGAAAAGGCAAGGAGGAGAATAGGAAGGGGAGGGGAGAATGAGGAGGAGGAAGAAGCTGCAGAGGAGCCATCTTCTAAATTCTAAATTCTGGCTTCTCCTACTTGCTTCCATACAGTCGAAGTCAGTCAGGCTTTGCTGACACAGTACATTGTTGCTGGATGTGTTCAAGCTATCATCTTGTACTTCTTAAACCTTATATTTCTATCAAAATATATCAGTTCAAATTCAGCACTTCTTAATAAATGCCTTGATTTTCTTTTTATGAAAACTTAATGTTCTAAAGCATATTCCAGAGCACCATGCTGTTTGCTCAGAGCCATGGATATTTCATTCCACTTTCAAGCTTCTATTTAAACACACCTCTTTGTCATATGCTGATAAATATTAAAATAACAGGAAAAATCTGCCCGACTTATTTAAGCTGATAATAAGAACAAAACACGGGATGTGTGTCTCCTCCCTCCTCTCCTAACTGTGGTTAACCGTTGAGAAGATTTTGAAACCAGCAATTATGTAATAATTGGTACCACCACAGTCTCTTCCCGAAGAAAACCCGGGACTGTTGTAGTTTGCCACAAAGACAGACAAAAACAAATTGCCGTAAGTGGTATTGTTGCTTCTTTGCTCCATTGTTTCAAAAGCATTTAAGAAAAGCTCCCATTGCCAAGCTGGAGCCAATGTGCCAATAATCATAAAACATCTTTCAAACATTGTTTCAGCTAATGAGTTAATTTATAGACCCATAAGCACCATATAGCCTCCTGGTATACGTCTGTTTTTATTACAAGAGAAAGGAAATGTACTCTAAATATTCAAACTGGTGTCAGGAGCATGTTGGTGGAATTGGCAAACAAAACCAGCAAGGATGCCTCATGTGTAGGCCAATAAGATGAAACAGCAGCCGGTTCAGAATAGCTCCTTTGATCTCCCAGCATCCAGCACAGCCACACACTAAGACACTGCTCCATTCCTTTTTATACCTAACGGAAGTGGCCCATCAGCATGCTGAGGTTTTGAAGTCTGTGGGCAAAACACTGTTTACTTCTTTCTAGTTCATATCACAGGGCTCTGGTGTATACTCACCTTCCTTCATGTCTTTCTTTCATTTTTTGTTCTCCTTTTCTTTTCTTCTCAAAGTTTTAAAAACATATACCATAAATACTTCAGAAGCCAATGAGCAAATGGAGCCCACTTTCTTTGTTCCTTCGTTCAGAAGTTAGTCATTTACAACACTTCTGAGATACTTAGGGTCATCGTAGTAGGAGAGCACAACATCCAAAGGGGGAGAAGCTGAGTATTGGGGTGGTGGGGGCGGGAGACTAGCACTGTTAGATGTCAGGTGACCATGGTGAGTGCATCTGAGTTTTTCACAGCGTTTTGCTACACTCCCCTGCTCTAAGAGTAAGATGGGTTCAAGGGAGCAGAACTCAATGGACTTCAAAGCGGTCTCCTGAGTGGCTGCACGTGCTGTGACAAATACATGTGCAAGGGTGTTCCTTCACGGTAGCCTTTCCTCTCAGTAGATTTCAATACAAGAAGAGCAGATGCACAATATCGAAAGACAAGAGGAGCAAAGAGGGATGACCTCTGAGCGAAATGCTTTGTGACCCGGAAAGCACCTCTGGTTTCACTACCTGGCTAGGATACAGAGCAAGTTGTAGTTACAGCTGAGGCAAGGTGGGGAAACCATTCATGAGCCTTGGGGATCTCGGGCTCATGTGGGCACCCTGTGGGGGAATGTTTGAGGTTAGCACTCCTGGAGTTCACTGGGGTCAGCAGGCTGAGGTCAAGTTGCACTGTTGACGTAGGTTTGCTCCCTTCTCTCCTGGAAACAGCAGGACCACACATTGAATTGGGAAGGCCTAGGCATACACTTTGTTTGGAAGTATTTTAGTTTGGCTTCACTTGGGGTAAAGGTCCAATACATCTTTGAAAAAAGTCACCAAGAGGCATCCCAGTTACAGTGTTCATATAAATGCAGTTTTAAATAAGAAACACATTTATTGCTTGGGAAGATGGAGATAGGTCTCCGGGCCTACCTTGCAGGCTGACTCTGGAGACTGGAGCCTGACTAGCCGCTGGCGACCTCCTGTGGAAAAGCAGAAAAGGAGGCTGAGTATGCATGGACAAGCCCCCCACCCTTCCATGATTCCTGACTCCTGGGGAGATTTCCAGGGCATAGTGAGTAATCCAGTGACATAAGGCTATCTCCGGAAGGCAGGCTCCTGGAACATGGGCAGGTGATTGCAATTCCCTCACATCCAGATGGCCTGGAATTTCCCTCAGTATAGCATCAGGATGCTACAGCTCGCCAGGGAGGAAGTTGTTTACCTCAGGTCCCTTGGCAGCCCCTCCGCTTCAAGTTTTCTGTCACTGGAGTCTCTCAGAAAAGCAGACACTTGCTTAGGCCTCACTCCACTTATCAGCATGAATCCCAGTTCTTTGAGGACAGAAAATCACAGCCAGAGGAACTCTTAGAGAGTTATCAGTTCAGGACTCACACTTTTTTCACCTCAGGAAACTGAGATGTTTGAGAGGACAAATCGTTTGCCAAGTGCCACACACAGCAACTAGCTGCAGTGATCCGGGCTTCTTAATAGAGGCACTGGCTTTTCACGGAGGAAGGAGGGTTTCATTCTTACTCAAATCCTTACACCAAGAGGCAAGTGAAACAAACAAACAAACACATTTTCCATTAATAGTGCAACTTTCTATTTGTATGTGTATCTATGTGTGCGCAGGTGTGTGCATGTGTGCTTGTCCGTTTATGTAGGAGTGGGTGGAGGCCAGAGATGAAGTCAAAATGTTTTCCCCAAATACTTCTCCATCTAGTTTTTGAGACAGGGTCTCTCACTGAAGAGGGAACTTTTCTTTCTGGCTAGGCTGACTGGCCAGCAAGTCTCTGCCCCTCAGTGTTAGAGCTACAGGAACGTGCCATCATGCAGACTTTTCTTCTTAGATTCTCTCTTTTCTTTGCCTGACATTCCCTGGCCCTTTGCTGGTCTAATCATCCTTCTGGTGATTTGCAGAATTTCTCTGTTACACTCTCCCAGATTCCCAGTATATTGCTGGAGTCTCCCTGTAAAGGGATAGAGCAGTGATCTCAACTCCAGAGTACTCTACAAGGCAAATTAGAATATTTTGCTCCAGCTTGTTTCTGGTATTTAACAGACCTAAAGCAGTCTTGCCTCTGGGGTCCCATGCAATGGCCTGCAGTCAGCCCTGCTCCAGGGTCCCATGTAGTGGCCTGCAGTCAGCCCTGCCTCTGGGATTCTATTGCAGTGGTCTGCAGTCAGCCTTGCCTCTGGGGTTCTAATGCAGAGGTCTGCAATGGACAGATGGGTCTGTATTTCTGATAAGCTTCCAGATGCTGCTGACACTGATGGTCTCACATAGAAGCCCCTTCAGTAGCCCTGATAGCAAGAGTTTGCCCCACTGAGGAACAACAGGATGTTGCTGATGATCAAGAAAGAGATATAGGCCAAGTATTTCTGGGTGTAACTGTCCTGACATTAGTGAAGATACCCTAGAGAGAGAGACACTTGTGGCCTTTGGTTATCAGATGTACTGAGACGATGGACCCTAAGAAATTGGAATTTTCCCAGGGGGTTCATGCTGGAAGAGAGAGAAGACTGAGCCAACCAGAGAGTGAGCTTGTCTCTCTGAAGAGATCCACACAGTGCTGAGATCTGGTCAGATCACCTTACAAGACAGAGCCAGAGCTGAGACGATGATGGTGGATCAGTAATGGGCGGGACCACAACTTGACTAGAGCTAGTTAGTTATGGGCACCTCTTGCCTTCTATTTAAATCTAATTTTCCAATGAGGAGCCTGAAGATAGGCTTGTGTATATATGAGGGAGGAGGGTGCGAGTGAACTGTTTTATTTCTCTTCCCAGTGTTGTGACATTGAATAAATCTGTTTTTTTTTTCTGCTTTTTATTATCACTTGTCTCTTTAACTGGTGTGTTATGGATGGGTAGCATGCTACTCACCCTGGGCCCAGGCTTTGATGCTAACAAGCTCTGGTAACACAAATGAACATCAGTCTCATTTGGGGAGGTGTTTAATAAATACTTTTCCCATCTCGGAAGAATCCATTTTCATAAGTCTAGTGCAGGCCCTAAGGATCTGCATTTTAAAGTCCTCTTAGCATTCCTATGCACAGGCAGGTCTGAGGGAGAGGCCAAATTCTAAGTGATGGAGAAAGGCATGCAAGGCTGTTGCTGAGGAAGCCTCTGTCTATTGGTCAGCCACAGCAGTGACTTTTATTCCAGCCATCACATTCCCATGGGGATAAAAGAACTTATATGTAGCTCTTTTTCTCTAGCTGCAAGTCCGTGGACAGAGTCCACAGCCACCGTCAACGGACCAACAGGATGAGCCTGTGTGACTGGGTGGGCAAATCCTCATGCCATGATTGCTATTCTCTGCTGCATACTGTGCGTGTCGTTTCTCAGCTTCTTCTCCTGGGAGTGTTATCATTTTGCTTTAGGGATCAGGAGATGAAGACACACACTACAGCACACACAGTGATTTCTAACTGTCCGGGCAGGATTCAAAGCCAAGTATTTCTGAACTGGAAATGCTAGCTCCTTTCTCTATACCATTTGCTGAGCACTTCTGCACTACTACCAAGGGCTGTTTTTTGTTTTGCTTTGCAGGAAAGTTGAAGAATTCAATTCCAAACTCCTCAGCCCGGCATGCAAAGCCTTTTGAATTCCGTCCTCATCATATTTCTCTAGATTAGTGCTAGACCACCTCTCTGTCTGACAGTTCATCTCAGACCTGTGTGCTCTCAGGTATTTCATACTTCTCCCCTGTTGAACTCTAAAATTGTAATTAAAACTGTCTAATTAGGGTTTGATATATAACTCCCTAGATTAAAGGTAAACCTTATGTAGGCAAGGGAAGACTTGTTCACTACCGGGTCCTAGGATGGTCCCCGAGAAAGTCTTTATATGCCAACTACTCAGTGACACTTATTGAGGGGAATGCCGGATGAACACATGCATGAAAAATTGATGTCCACTTTGCTCAGGCCAAAGTTGGTTTCTTCTTTTGCTTTGACCTCATCCTGCTCCTTTCTTGCTGATGCTCAGGCCATTCTTCTGTTGGAGAAACTCTCCCCATACTAAATATCACCTACCTCTGAAGATTACAAATCTCCTTCAAAACGAAACTATATTCTTAATTGAAAATGGTCCCTCATGTTGCCATGGTGCTTTATCTATACCAGAAGTTCATTTTCTAATGTGATGATTTTCATATGTGCGAACATTATCTCCACCACGGACTCCATGACCTGCTTGCAGTAGGATCCAGTTTGACCTCTTTTTCTTTTTGAATCTTTTGTAGGACCCACCAACTTCCTGGCAAGCAGTAGGAATTTCCAAACTACTGGTGGACTATTGACCAAATCAGTCATCGATAAGGAAATATTATGAAGATGCCAACACACTAACTGGATGTCTCGGCTTTCATCTGTTCATATGCAGTCTTGGTTCCTGGGCTTCCCACTATGCATGCTTTATCATATTGCAGTGGTGGCCTTGTTGACATCTGGCTCAGTGGCTAACTCATCTGTGTCATTTGGGACTGTGCTCAGGCAGTCCTGCACACACTCTGCTGTGAGTGGCCCCCACCTGCGCTATATAGTTTCCTACACTTCATTATCACACTGTAATGCAACCCCCCATCTGCCCAGCTCTCTCTTCAGCACAATTATAAGGAATGCAAGGAAAGACTGAGTCTCATTCCTAGTCGCAGCCCTGCAGGCTGGCATGGCATTTGAGTGATGCACATTTCACTGCGTACCCAGTGGGTTCACAGGAAGACTGGACTCTGAATCTTGCATATCTTCCAGAGTTCTCTGGGAGGCTTTTGTGAAAGGAGACTGTGAACTAGGTGTTCTTAAAATGTCAGAAACATCTACTTTCTTAGTAGCATGGCTACTCATATTATGCAATTCTTTCTGTAATTTCTTGGAAATTACACATTATGTAAATTCTTTTGTCTTGGAAGTTATTTTGGGAAAGTATGGCCTTTACTGAAAGTTGTTAGTTCAGATAAACATCCCTGTGTAGGAGAAAAAGAAAGGGCCATGCTTATTCGGCTTTATGACTTCTCTTGATAAGTGGTCCAAAAAGGAGGCCCAGTACACTTTAATGAATGGATGACTTCCGGAAACCACATTATTGTTGGTAAGACAGGAGACTACCAGCCAGAAAACTGATGGGCTCAGGGGAGAACAATCTCTGCTGCCTGCTTTCCCTCGGTCTCTAACTTATAAAAGAATGGGAGAAAGTTCTTTACCTGGCTGCTGAAGATGTTGATAGGAATGGGGAAGGTGACTTGGCCACAGTAGTTAATGCTGAATTGTGTAGTGGAGGGAGAACTGGGCTGCAGTAGAAGCAGGAATCTTCCCAGTCCTGAGTCTGGCACCTTCCACTAATGTAGTCCCTGGCAGCTCACTCAACCTCAGTTTCTTTCTTACTTGGGGAAAGCAGGCAGCAACTACTATTTCCTGATGATTTACAGTGTGTGAGGTCTTGTATGAGGGGCTCCCATATATTTCCTCACTTACTTGGAGGAAATTTGGCTAGGTATTTTCCATATCTAAGTGTTCAAGATTTTATGATTCTCAGCTAATTTAAACCCCATGCCAAAATATATAAAGCTCTGAAAGACATTCCAGATATACACTAAAGAAGATGGTTATTAATGTTTTCCAAAGAATGTGTACCTTCTGGTCGAATTATGCCTTTGAAGAATTTCGAATGCAAAGATGACATGGTTCCCTGGTTGTCACACATATCAGTGGTTCTTGACGGATGATGGAGGCAGACATCTCGGTTACTGAGTGGTGAGTACTCTCACCATCACATTGGTCTTTTGGAAGCCATCAAGTGCTTCGGGGAAATGTTTCTGAATTAACAACCCCAAATGAAAGCTACAGTTTTCAAAATTAACTCCTGGGACAAGGGAAGTGTAGGTTTTAATTTGCAGCCAAGAAATACAGGCCTGATCCCCCATTTCATTAAGGTGCAAGGGAACCTCCTCAGCAGAAACTTTAAGATTTTCACCCTTTGGGTGGCAAAGCTCCGGCAGACAATGGGCTGCTTTATCCAGAGCAAAGAGCCAAAAGATAAAAGAAACCGTAACTTAGGAGAAGTATAGTTCTATGTGGGAGTTCCTTTTCACATCATAAACCACACTAGCCAGATGTCTCATGAAAACCACTCCAAGGACATAATTACTGCTTAAATGCTACATTCAAGACAGGGAGTGGCACCCTGGAACCCACGTTAAATATCCCAGAAAGCAACTTCTAAATTCCATGGATCTTACAGCTTCAATTGTTAACATAAGCTAATGCATGTGGGTGGGATGGGGGATGCGCTCTGTAGGCCATGTGCACCCCTGGTAGACAATCTCATCTTCACTTCCTTCTCTTATTTGTTGATGGGTACTGGTTACCTAGCAATAGAGTGAAAGTGTATCAATGGACCCTCAACTCTCCAACCTACCACTGCCATGCTGCTCCATTTGTGGCTTAAATAAACCCAACACTCAGGTCTTAGGCAGAGCTACACAGAGGCACTGCTCCTCTTGGGGAAGCTCTTGAGAATCTGCCTTTTCATAAATTTTTGTCCCCTGATGTTGATTATAAAGAGATACTTGAAATAACCAAGCTGAGGATAGTAGCTCACACTTATACCCTCAGTGCTTCAGAAGCTGAGAAAGAAGGATTGCCATGAGTTTGAGACCAGCCTGAGCCACATAGTAAGGTAGTGAATTCCAGGTCAGTCGGGGCTAGAGAAGGACACCTATCTCAAAATAAAATAATCAAAAGCCTTGAGATAAATAGCAAGACTAACTCTATAAAATACAGATGTGGAGCTGCAGAAGATCAGTAAATGAAGATGGCTAACTGCTGGAGATAAACTCCCTTATAAATATGGCTTGTCTTGGACCAATGTGACATGATGGGTCATGATTTGAGAGCTGGTCCTCAGTCTGAGAATGATAATGTCTCTAGATCTATTCTATATTTGACATTTAGGGTCTCAAGATACTTGATCCCTGGAACTTTGTGTGATTCAGAACATACATGGCTATCTGAAGACCCAGTTCTTCAGAAAATTATCTTCAATGTATTAATCAGCAGGGCTAGGCTGTCTTCAATACTACCCACAGAGGAGGAACACCCACACTCATGCTAACAAAAAGCATTGAGAACACCATGTGTACCCACTTCTCCTGGGATCTGTGTAACATATTGGTTTGGCCCCAGGCATCGTCACTCATCCCTTCTTCCTGTCACCACCTGTGACATTCTAACTAGGTGCTTCTTTCCTAAAGAGACTGGCTTAGTTAATGTTTGCTTTTAGCCTCTCTGATGGCCTTCTGTTTCAGAAGTTGCTCCTACATAACTGTTCAAGCCATCCAGGCTTTCTTTCTGCACCCAGAGTACTCAACAGTTGTCCTGAATAAGAGGGCACAGCATTGAGAGTTGGGATGTTGTGTTCAAGGACAACAGCTGCTCGCTAGAAGCTGTGCAGTTGGTCACATTCAGGTCATTAATCTCACCCTGTCTTGATTCCTTACCCATAAAGTGGAAGTAATAATATCTGTCACAACTACTGCTTGTGGGTATCATTGCTGAGATAATTGATATGAATACCCTTCTAGGTTCAACAAGGTAAGTTCTCAATTATAATAGCTCACAGCTACTGTGTATATGCCACTTTGAGAGCTTTATGAATATTAAGTCATTTAATCCTCATAATAACCTCATCTTATAGTTTAGGAAACAGAAAACCAGAGAAGATAATTAACTTGTTCTTGTATATGATTCCCAAGCAGTAGAAATATATGATGTGGCCAACATGAATAGTCACAGAAACCAATTACGTGGAGAACAATACACAAGGGTAAGGAAATTTCTAAACTTCCCAGAAATTTTCTAAATAATTAGTGATCTATCTTGTAATAGTTATTCATTCAGAAACACACATTCACACATAGACACATGAGATGTTTATGAAGCATAAAATATGTGTCAGACATTCTACCACAGTCTAGTGATGGGCAAAGATCCATAAAGACAGTGTGAGAGGTTATTAGCATACTGTTAGGCAAAAAGGAGACCACTCAGGTAGAGTTGGCAGGGTCAGCATATTGAGAAAGATGCTACTCATCATAACAGATGTCCAGATATGGCCAGGCAGACTGTAGAAGGTAGGAGGAGACAGTTCAGGCAGAGAGAGTCCATGATCAGGATAGAGAGGAATAGACAGAAAACTGCCAGACCTTGGCTGCTGAACACAAGCCTGTGTGGCTGGAGACATGATCTGACTGCTCACCGATTAATCACAGCCACTTCCTGTTAGAACATAAGCTGTGAAAGGGCAGAGACCTTGTCTGTGTGGACCACTATGAGATCATCAGTGCTTGGTATAAAGTGAATGGCCAGTAAGTATTTGTGTAATTGAGTACGTGCATGAATGGACGAACGGTATGCATGAAATAAATACTGGTGGAATGGATTAATCAATGAATAAACAGGACACAAGCTCCAAAACTAGGCCTTCAGGTTCCACGTATTGTCTGTGTGTCCCTGCATGTTGAGGATTTCAGATTTGCTTTCTGGTTAGGTTTCAGATTCTAGAATATCTTCATTTACATGTTGAGAAATCTTAGGGAAGAGAATCAAGACTAAATAGAAAATTCATTTGTTTCACACACACTTTCCACAAATAACTTGATGGTAATCTTACACAATATTTTTAATGAAACTATGTACAGCCTATCACCGGAGGCCAGATATGGATCTTTTAATTCTTGGCATCATATCAGAATTCAAAGAGCCTGAATTTTGGATTTTTAGATTAGGAATGCTCAACTCTTACTTGTTCTAAATATAATACAACTAACTTTGCACCACCACATTAACTTAATCTGGATTGTGAGGCATCTTAGATAGAATGCATAAGCATCTACACTTGATCTTAAAGACTGGTTTACTGCAAGGCCCAGGCAGGAGAGAGACTTGATCACACAAATAGCATGGAAGAAAATGCACTCTGGTGGGAGCCTGCAGAACAGTTGGTGAGAGACCGTGGTGGGAGAGATTCTGCAGGGGCATGCAACTTCCTCTCGCAAGGAGGCTTAAGTACAAACCACAGGACAGTGAGAGGAAATTAGGAATTGTTGCAAATTCGGCTTTAACCTTGGTTTGCATCATCTACTTTTTCAGAATCTGGATGAAGGTAAACAAATGACAGATGTATAGCTTCAGGAAGACTTTGGAGATAATGCTGCGGTGTCTACTGACTGAAAAGCTGGGAGAGTCAAGCTTTAGATTCAATGTTTCTTTAACCTACAGTGCATTCATAAGCTAGTTGCTGTGTCCCGAGGGCTCAAGGTTTCCTTCTATAAAACAGGTTGAGTGAATGGACTTGTGGCCCTCTCCTAACCCCTTCCAAGATCATGGATTCTCTGGCCCTCTGAGGCTATGACAGTCTTTGAAACACAAGTGAACTTTGTGACCCTTCGACTTTATATTTTCAAATGCCCTGTGTAGTGAGACTTAGCACGGAGGGCAGATTTCTAGGCAATGTTTGTGTTCAGTGTTCTTCGGTGTTTTGGGCTTTTGTGGGAGGAATTGTAACTGCTTACTTGTTGGGAGCTCCATGGAGGTTTGTGAGCAGAGTGAAGTTGTTTCTTACACTTCGCAAGCTGGCGAGAACCTGCAAGGAGAATGTTTCAAAGCTGGTTAGGGTCAAAGGACTGCATTTAAAAACCACACCAGTGACAGAGTGGGTACGAGGCTGATACGTACATACCTGGGCAAATGGAGTGACAATCAGGTCATCGCCGTGCCTGGCGAAAAGAGAAAAAGAAGCAGAACGGATGAATTTTAATTGTGACACACAAGTTACACTAAAGTTTACCAGTGTCAGAAACCCACCTTCTCCAGCAACCCTTCTGTGTGGAAGGATGGCAGGAGCCCGTGAACTCCAAAGAAGACACAGCACCCAGCTCATGATTCCCAGCCTTACAGTGATTCCGTCTAAAAGCTTTGGCAAGTAAGCGTGTGTCCTCAGGGCGTATATTTCCATTAACCGGCAGGCCCAGAGTCCTATAATTCAAAGTGACTTGTGGATTTGAGTTGCCAAAGCCAGGAAACTCAAAGTGGGGTGGGAGGGGGAGCTGCCCATAGGCACACTGCACATTGGAAAAAATGGTATAACAGTCTGGATAAAGGGTAACACTGGATTTCCTGGCTTTTTGTTGATCTGAACCACAGCTTTAATACCATTTAAACACAGATTTCTGTCTGGGAATCCCATTACTTTTTGTTTTTAATATACTCTTTTTTTTCCCCCCTCTTAAAGTACCCAAGGAAAAAATTTTAATGGGAATGTGCAGACTGAGCCTACTAAAGCAATACCCGTGACACTCATCTGGTCCTGCAGAGCCAATTATGCTCTGCCTCCTGCTTTATCAGCCTGGGCTCGGGACCACTGAAAGCTGTGCTTCAGCAATGCACTTTGCGTGCTCCGGCATCTGCCTTCGTAATCTGCTAACGACAGCCTTCAGCAAGCTCTCTGCTGAAGGTTTGAGAAACCGCATTGGCCGCCGTCACAACATTAGTTTAATTTGCTGGCACCCTGTGAATTAGCAACATGGAAGCTGATGACAACAAGCTCCCCTCCCTGTCTGGCCCTACCTCCTGTCCTCCATCACCGCACCAAAGGTGGTGCTTCATCCACGATCATGTGAGGGTGCCCCATAATCATTAAGCACCTGCCTGGTACCAAGCACCCTGTGAAGTCAGGTTTCAGAGCTGCAGAGCCCATGCATCCAATAGCTACTCTTCTCTGATGAGGGCTTTAGCAGGGTGCTTCGTTAATGTGGAAGTTTCCACCTTTGTCTTTAGCTAGGAATTCTCTGAAATTTCTTGTTAGGCCTGGTTTGGACAGTGAGAAGAAAACGAAAACAAGCTGACAAGTAGGAAGCCTCTTTGTGTGACTGGCCTTTGTGTACATCAGCTCACTTAACACGGGCGATGCAGCTGTGAGGCAAGCACATCGCAGACGGTAACGGGCCAGTAGCTGCTAACTAGCACACAGCCGGTAAGTGGAAGATCCGAGCCCCTTTGCGGCCCCAGCTCTGTGCTTTAAACATTGTAGTTCTTATTTTCTGAGACTTGCTACATAGTTGACAAGCAAATTGTGCAGAAACCACAACCTCTCAAGTCAAAACATAATAAGGGAGACCAAAACTATTTTTAAAGTTACAATACGTATAAACACAGAAAGAGAAACACAAATAACGCAAAAGAGAAATTCACTATACATTAGTGGAACTAAGGAGGGCTTGGCTGAGTCAGTAGTGTTTGAGATGGACTTTTAGGGACATAGTCTGGAAGAAGGCCGAGGTGATAGATGCTACCTATGAGAGAAATGGTAATAACAGAGGATCTAAAATGGGAAAACAGTGAGCAGGCTCATTGGTGGCTGTTAGAGCACATTAACTATGGCATATGTAGAGAATAAGGTTAGAAGGTGGCATGCATCTGAGATATGGAGCACAGAGCCTGCAATGTTGATGATTCACTCAACAGGACCCGGTGGGCCAATGACGGTCTTCAGTGAAGTGGGAAGTAAGACAGACTGGAAAAGTGTTTTTAAAAGCAAAATGCTGTGGATGCCGAGGGATGGAATGGCAGGGAGAGCCCCAGGAGGGATGGCAGGAGGGTTCCTGGCAATGAGAAAGAGTTGATGCAGCCAAGAAAGGAGCAGGAAATGACACGCTGAAGAGACGCCAGGGATCTCTTCAGAATCCAGCATTTGTTTGCATAAGGAAATAGTATGTTCATTAAAAAAAAGTGAGCATCAGAGAAAATGCTCATGAGCAGAAACAAGAAACACGCAGAGGAGTTGGGGGTTTTCATGGTACCCATTGAACTTTGGGGTACATGTTGAGTTCAAGGTGCTTGGAGACACCCAGGTGGCACTATGGACCAGGGAGGTGGTGTGAAGGAGGGTTTAAAACCACAGAGTTAGGCTTCTCAAGGGAGCAGGGATAGTTATAGAAGTGGTTGGGGACGGCTTTGTTCACAGCACTATATATAGTGAAAGCAAGCCAAAGAAGAAGCTCAGGGCTTCCAGAAAGGGGCTAAAGGGAGAGCCAGAAACAGTTATTACAAATGGCGTGCGGTGACTTGCACCCCAATGGCCTGTGTTTTCATATGGCCAGTGCCCAGATGGGTGAAAGATCTTGCTGTCTGTTGAGATTTTTGAGATGAAGCAGGCCTGGTTCATAACGTGCAAGGGTGAGTTGGAGCACAGGGAAATTGACTTGGAGTCAAGCAGATCTTGTGTGGCTCCTGGATTTCTGGAGTTTAAATATCTGCTGGAAATCAAATCATTTAGGGAGACAGACACACCACCAGGCATAGAGCTGGGGGTCAAATGATACAGGGAGATTCAGACACACCAACACATGTAGAGCTGATGTTGGGCAAGTGATCTGGAGAGGGAGTCAAACTATAAACTGACAATTAAAGAGAGGAAGGCCACCACAGCACAATGTCACCATGGCTTGTTCAGGGGACTTTGGAAGTTGGGAACAGCAGGATATTCAGAAACAGGAGTGGATTGGCAAATTTTCTGCCCTGGCTCTCTAAGAGCATTTGAACAACTAACTAAATGCTGTAGGTCAGATGCTGCTAGAGAAATGAACAGATTTAGAACAAGAATCAGAGAAGAAACCAAGTAAAATGAAACAAAACCTTTTCAGGTTACAGAACTATTTTGAAATCATATTATGCTATTTTACAAATTAGGAATAAGCTGAAATTGCAGTAGCAAAATATTTGACTACGGAAACTAATTTATTTATTTACTTTTTAAATTTCCTAGATCATTAGAGAAAGGCAGTGTGCCCTCTCTGGAACCAAGTGAAATATTCAGAACCGTTACACAAGCACCCTCTAGTGACAGAATCAGAACATTACATGCGTACAGTCTAAGAACAGCTTGCAATTGGGTCTTGGAATTGAATGTGGGGGTAAGATCTTAACCACAAAACAGCTTTTTAGAGAGCAAAATTGCTGCTTCTTACCCCTAGATTGTGAGTTTTATTAATTTACTTTGCATTTCTTTTTAATTGTATGTGGAATTGTCTTGTGTTGGGCTAGTAGTTGATTTCAGCCTGTCTTCTACAGATTAGAACTGTGGTCACTAGGAACACATATTCTGCCCCTAGCCTGCATTGTCTTGTTTCTCAAATACTTTATTATTACCCATGAGAGTTAGGCAAGCCATGTTTCAGCTTCTTCATCTGCAAATAGGGGTCTGTGAGAAATGGGGTATCTTTCTTGGCAGATAAAAGCATTCTATTTATTTTTGCGATGGGCATCGTTAGTGGGCCTTTATTACAGCAAGCTATTGCCTGTCTATCTTCTGCCTGGTAACAGCCTCTTTAAGATATGTATGCCTGTCTCTACTGCAGTCTAGAGAACTTGTCTTTCTATGGTATAGTACACTCATAAAATGCTTTCATGGACATTACTGAGGGTGATAGAAGGAAGTGCCTAATTGTCAGGGAATGATGCAGTCATCTATCATGTTGGCCAGTGGGAAACTTCTCCTGCTTCCTCCCACAATCATCCACTAAGCTCCATCAGTCCCAATTTGCAAATATTTATTACTTGCCTGCCAACTTCTCTGCGGCAGGTCCCCACTCTTGACATTGCATACATGGGAGTCCTAAGCTGCCCCCCAGCTGCTTATTCAGTTATGTTCCGCCTTCAGCTCATCCTTCCTCCTGAGCTGGTTTTCAAACCCAAACACCTCTTGATGCTCTCCCTTCAGGCCACTGGAGCTCCCCATGGCTTGCCTGCAGCATGAAGAACAACTTCTAGGCCTTTCACAACAAGGAGCCTGTGGCTTCACCAGCCTCAGCACTCCTTGGTCTTTCCTAGGGCTGGAAAGCTGGTCAGCCAAAGCCTTTTTCCTGTACACACCCTCCAGCCCTCCTGTGCATCCTCTAGCTCAGCTAGACCTCCTGCAGTAGACCACTCACCCTCCTGGCCAAGCACTCCAAAGGCTCTCTAGTTTTGCCTTTATTTCTGAAGGTATTAAAACTACTAACTGACTTTTTAATCCTTTCGATTTTTGAAGGCACAGAAACTGCCTTATTTACTAGTGAAATGCTTCCATGTAAGTAAACATTCACTAAAAGAAAGGTTGAGAATGGTGTATATTAATAGCTAGAAAGGCAGCCAAATCAGAGATTAATATTCTTCTTTGGGACCTCATGTAGTTTATATCCTGGATCTTTATACTGGATCATCATCTGGACTCCTCGGGTTCAAGACTGACTTCTCATTCTATGTCCCATGCTTTCATCCATCTTTAACTGACAAAACTGTAGATCCCACCACACCAAGGCTACAGAGCCTAAATTAATGGATATATATGTAAAGTACTTTAGCACATGGCACACAGGCAAGGCTTTATCAATGTATGTTTTTACTTACGGATAAATTGTACCATAACAGAGATCCCATGTCTGTATAATAGTCATGGTAAGCAAATGAAACAGCTGTGTGTCCAACTTGAGTCTTAGATACCACGTTGTGCTTTTTGGTAGTCCATCAATAAACAGGTCTTAAATTTAAGTGGTCTATTAGTTGTGCTTTTCATCCTGGTTTTTAGGTCTCATTTCCCTTGACAACTCTCTAGAGAACACACATAGGCCTTCGCACATGTCAGCTTTTAATAGGTCCCTCTCCGGGGCTTTGCAGATGGGATGACCAAATGGGAAAAATATGGTGCCTGTGGCTTTACAGGTTGGCTGCTGAAACTCTTTTTGGAGAGCAATTGATGTCAGGTTTTTTTTTTTTTTTTTTTTTTTTAAAGAAAACTGCTCTTGCTAATTTCCAGTAATTTGGGTTCCCACTGAGAAACCTGTACCACAGTATGCGAAGGCATTAGTTTAGAAATGACTACAGCCCAGGAACTGAGGAGAGACCAAGAGATTACCACATCCAGGAGCACAGTTGAGCTTGCCCTTGCGGACCTGGAGAGGACTCTGTCTTCTTTTACTAGAAAGACTCATTGTAATCTATTCTTTGTTGCTAAAAGTTGAAGCCATTTAAAAACTCCCATTCACATTTTTTTAAACTCATTCACCTACTCTCATCTAAACTGTAAGTCGTTTCCATTTATTCTACTGAGACAATTCATGTAAGAAACATTTCAAAGCCAGCATTTTCCTAGTGCTAGGATTTAACATAGCAGAATTATACAAAGCTTTTTACTTTTGTCTGAATTTGAATTCATGACTGATCTGTGCTAGATTGGAGGGGCTCCAATTAGAAAGGCCATTCGGAGCCATCCCAGAGGCCTTTGCATCAAGGTGCCTGCACTGCCATGACCCCTTTTCTTCAGCGAGGTCTCTTCTGCAGAGACAGGAGCAGTGGGGAAGGAACGGGCTACTGTCCCTGTACTGATTTCACTTCTTCCTGCACAGTGATAATCAGGAGAAAGGGTTTTAAAGAGCCTTACTTCATGGGGCATGAGAGACAGATGCCTCAGTGCTTATGAGCGCCAGCTGCTTTTCCAGAGGACCTAGTTTGATCCCCAATGCCCACATGATGGCTCATTCCCAGGAATACAATGCTCCCATTTGGCCTCCACTGACACTGAACATATGTGGTGCACAGATATCCATCCAGGCAAATTACTCATATACCAGGCAAATTACTCATATACATAAAATAAAATTAATAAAACATTTAAAATGTTTTAAAAAATAAAACAAAGATTACAATGGAGTCAGAGAAAGGAAAATGTATATTCCTAAGAACAGATATTTAAAAAGGTTGTTTTTTTTTTTTTTTTTTTTTGTTTGAGCATCACTTTAGTTTAGATGTGAACATCAGTGTGAAACTGAATTTTCCGATGTGGCTCTGACAAAATAAGGTACCATAAGAAAATGGACATTCTTTAAACTCTACATACTTCTCATATGGAGAAGAATAAAGTCCTTAACTGGGAAACACAAAAGATTTTATAGTTATGTTTAAATATTTTCTAAACAAAACCCTTTGCCCTCATGCAACAGAAAGATTTTAATGTATCTTGACATCAGTATTCTGAATAAGGAGGGGTTATTGGTTCACCTGTGCTTTCCTAAGAAGGGCTTATCTTTATTGTGGGAATATGTTCTCCCTACTTATAGTAATCATCTTTAAAAAGGGAATTTGCTTATTGAGAAGAGTGCTTTCTCTGCCGATGAGGACAAGGTTTAACTCCTCAGCATCAACATAAAATCCTAGGCATGGCTGAGTGTGACTATAACCCAAAGTTTGGTGGGCCAGCAAGCCTAGCCCCAAACTGTAACCCTTCAGTGTGGTGAGGGACACTGTCTCAAGGCAAAAAGAGTAAAGAAAAACTCCTGACATCTACTCTGGCCTCCATATCGCCATCCACATACTCATGTGCATGCAACACATAGAGAGAGAGAGAGAGAGAGAGAGAGAGAGAGAGAGAGAGAGAGAGAGAGAGAGAGAGAGAGAGAGAGAGAGAGAGAGGAGAGAGACTAATAGAAATAACAGTTAAAAAGTAAGAATGATGCTAGATGATTTTCACACATTCTTGTTTGTCTAGAACTGAAGTTGGCAATGCTGAATAGGTAAACTTGGGGGAATGTTTTACTGATCAGTGAAATTACAAAATTACAAAAAGGTAAAACTCGTGACAGGGGTGCTGGCTGCAGAGACACTCAGAACCATAGTTTCATCATCTGGAGACTAAGCTGGCTTGTAAGTTTTAAATTATCTTCAAATTTAAAATCTCTATGTCATTTTTATCCCACACAAGGAAACAGTAGAATTTAACCTGGAGTTTAATTAGCCTGTTCTGTAAAGGCTGAGTGACCTGGAGACTCATTGTGAGGGTTGGAATGAGTTTAGGAATTAGTAGAGTCAAAATTAATTGAGGAAATACATATATTCCAGAGCTAGCCGTTTGTTTATAAAATGGCATGGGAATGGATCTGTGCTTACTTTGAGCTCACTGTGTTTCCTTTGCTCTCCCATGATAAAATCCAGACTACGTAAGCTTGGCAGTGTCTAAGGTTTGGATGTTAGGCTAGCAGATAGCACATGTAAAGGAACCTGGCCCTCAGCACATGCTCATTCAATGTGAGTTGCCTCCTGTGCTCTGTAGTTCAGTGTGCATGTGTGAGACTCTTGAGGAATGAGATCTTGTTTTTGGGTTCCTTTTTAACTGAGGACAAGAACCCAGTGGACTTTTCCAGACTGGAAATTTTAGGGAGTTTCTGATACTTTTTTTATAACATACAATGTTAAAAGCAATTAGTGTGTGCCCAGAAACCTTTTAAGTCATGGGTTTCAGCAACCAATTTTATTTGGGTTCAGAGATTTAATAAACAGGCAATACAAACCAGTTGTCATTCTTTAAATAAAAACCAGTTATATGCAATTAGTATCAGCAAAACAAAAATAATGTCTGTGCATTGGCTGTTCTGTGCCTCATCAAGGAGCCAGGCAGTGGATAAGTATGAATGGTAAAATCTTACAGAAGGGATACAGGCATGTGGCTGGATAACACCTAAGCTAAAAGCCACTGAGCAAAGGCCAGTTAGTGAGAATGCAAGTAACCAACCAACATTTTTGTTTTGGTCCAAAGCCTCATATGCCCACATATTCAAGTGTGATTTGCAAAATGTGCTAAGATTTTCATCCCATAAATGATTCAGCAGTTCAGGAAATAAACCCAGTGAAAGTTTTCAGCTAACAGATGTGAACTGAACACTGCGTTTGAGGGTTTTGGTTTGTTTTCTTTTTATACTCTGGAGACCCCAGTCAAAATTCTGCAAGTCCTTGTTCAGTTTTCTCTTCTTCCTTCCTTGAGCTGGCAACGGTTGCTGCCGCTGCTGCAGTAGGGTTAAGGATGAGGTAGTTTGTGAAGCTGGAACCCAGAGAGGAACAGGAAGGGTTTTACTTACTGCTCGCTTGGAAGTGATGAGTTCCTTGACATCGCTTTTGGTGACAAGTCATAGTCACTGTCGGATCTGTAGAGGAAGGACTCTCTGCGTTGGCTGTGCCCAGGAAATGTGGCGTGAAGCACCAGCCCAGAGGAAGAACTGGCCTGAGGGTCCAGTGGGCTCCGACCTGGGGAAGGGCCATTTTCCACATCAAAGCTGGAAAAGAAAGCAGGGAAAGTTTGGTCACTTGAGAACTGCAGAGGGCAGTTTGCATACACGGAGAATTTACAGGTGGCGGGCACTGCGCGCCAGGCTCACCTGGTAAAGCTTTGCAGAGAGCTTTAGTCTACAGAACAGGTCTTGGTTATGGTCCTTCCCATTTTGTGCAGAAGCAGCTGAATTCCACAAACTTCACATAGTACCTGGGTTTACTTGTAATAAATAGTAACCCAAAATTTGGGCCGAAGGGCAAAGCTCATAACCTCTCAGCAGCCTGACCAACTGTGACAGATTCAGAATGAGAAGCAAGGAGGGAAAAAAAAAAAAAAAAGCTTGCTGATGATGAGCAATTCCAGAGGGGGGCATCTAGCACACCTCTGGGTGCCAGACAAAGATATCATGGGAATGAGTCTTCCTAGCTGGAAGACTTCTTCCTCACATAAATATCAGCCTCATTAAAGACACAATTTGCATATTTCTGAATGTTTTGGGAACAAAGTGTTATCCTGAAAACACTGGCTGTCTGATTAGAGAGGCCCGGCCTGATATTTAATATTCATATGTAAATTTAGCCACATAAATGACTTAATTAATCTGATAACACCAAATTACTGTCTCAGGCTGCAGAGCCAGGCCTCTGGAGAAGAATACCACCATTGAGTTTCGCAGAAGAGTGCCAGGGAGATTCTGATCAGTGCCCCTCACTCAGGAAGGTGCCCTCAGGCCCAGGGTTATTTTAAAAGCTCTTATCTTGAACACAAACAGGAGCCATGTGGATTTTGTGCCTTGTTTCTGACCCATCCTGTTGTTGCCCTGGAGTAGTGTGTCCTTCCCACATGTGCTTTAACCATTCCAGATGTGTTTCTTTTGCATCCACAGCTTCCCTCGGCGTCAAATGGACAGTAACCACCTCTCCCAGTTCCTCTCAAACACTCGCTGCTCTGCTGTCAGAGCTTTGCAGAGAGATTGTGAAAGAAGTGTGGGATGTAGAGCTGGAGATGGTCTTTCATCCAGTTCAACCACAAGAGGCAGCTTCCATCATGTTTAACCAGCTGCCACAACCCCCTCACTAATCCTTATTTACTTTGTGTGTGGGTGGGGGGGGGTTCTTCTATTTCTTAAATTTATAAGGTGCTTTCTGATATATTATTTCATTTAATCCTAACACCCATGTAAGTTATTTAAGTTATATAATCCAATTATATTACATTGAAGGTATATAACAAAGGGGGAAAACATCCATATCTTGTTTAAGGAAATATGCTAGATTACTGGTTTCCCCATAGTCATTCAGATGGAGGGGACACACCCCGAGACCCTCAGCAGATGTCTGAAAGAGCAGATAGTAGCCAGCTCTATATATACATATGTGTTTTCTTCTACAAAGACACACTGATGATAAAGTTTGTACATCAGCAGTGGTAAGAGATTCACATTGACTAACACAAAGACAATTCTAACACTATGCTGTAGAAATGGAGACATGGCTCTGTTGATAAAATTCTTCATGGAAAAACACAGAGAACTGATTCTGGAGCCCCAGCACCTATGTGGAAAACCACGTGCATGGGCACACCTGTAATCCCAACACTGTGGAAGTACAGATGTGGATCCTGGAAAGCTCTCTGGCCATCTAGTCTATGCACAACAGTGAGCCCCAGGTTTGCTGATAGAATCCATGTCAAGAAATAAGGTGGAGAGTTATTAAGGAAGACATCTAATGTGGACCTCTGTTCTGCAAAAGCATGTGTACATATGTATTTATATGAACATGTACACACACACACACCACCACACAAGAATTTATTGAAATAAGAAGTATTAGAATAAAATTTATTTAAAACTCATGGAATGTTTATTTCTAGACTTTTCCATTTCATATTTTTTAACCATTTTTGATGATGGGCAACTAAAACCACACAAAGACCACAGAGAAGGGACAGCGACTCTAGCTGCCAGAAGGAGCACTGGAAGACCCATGTTTTCCCACTCCATCTCTTTACGGCCTCAGGCTTTTCAGGCTTCTCGAATCCTCAGTTCCAGAATGGCATGCTGGGTAATGGAAGGCTGTTTGGTTCCTATCCAAAGGTGTAGTTGGTATGGAAGAGTCAGTCTGTGACCACTCTTGAATGATCCTCAGGGGACACAAAGTGCCACCTTGAATAAACTGAGAGGAGGTAGCAGATGGCCCTGTAGCTTTACTTGCAACAGAAGGAGAAATGACAGAATGCAGGAGCATGATGCCACCATCGAGGCTGCTGATCAAAGCTGCTTTCCGACTCCACACAAGCTCTGAGAGGAAGCTGCACCTGAGGATCCCTGGGTGAAGGGGAGAGCAGGTGCCACAGCAACCTAATATGTACCAGGGCTTATAAGACTCCACAGACGGAGCATCTTGGAAGCCTAGTTAGTGGTCTGGGATGGGCAACTTTCCAAGGCTGCAGGCTGATAGATGCGTAGTCCCTTGAACTTGTTTTCTTGCCAACCTGCCTGGTTCATACTTTTTAACAAGTGAAAATGTAAGGATGCACATTGCAAACTTGCCCTCGGTGAACACTCTACTAGCTGTTGAGAAACTAAACAGCTTCTTTGTGGAGAAGGATCTTTTGTTGCCCTCTAAATCCTGTAGAACCTGTATGTCCTGATACTGTCTCTGAAATCTTCTTCAAAATATGTATTTTTATATGTATGGGTATTTGCCTATTCATATGTCTTGCACACAAACATGCCTAGTGCCCTTGGAGGCCAGAAGAGAGCATAGGGTCCCTTGGGAGTGAATTACAGGTTGTAAACTATCGTGGGTGCTGGGACCTCTGAAAGAGTAGCTGGTACTCTTAACAACAGACCTATCTCTCCAGCCTGCTGAACCCTTCTTAATGGCTAAGAGGGGCAGATCCTTAAAAGGTGAGACTGGGATAAACCAGCCATCCCAGCCTGAGTGGAGTGAATTTTTAAATTCTGCGTACAATTGTATTGCTATTCATTTGGTGTACATCTTCACAGCCTTTTGATACTAAGCCAGCAGAATACTTTTAACAGTGGATACCCAGCTGCCCGAGAAGCTCCAGTATGGCCAAGACCCAAGGGTTAGTGTTTGGGATGCCAGGCAGTCTCTAGCACGAGCATTGTGGTCAGTGTTCGTGTGGTACCACTGACTATTATGACCATCACTGCTCTCTGACCCTGCACCAGCATCTTGCCAACTAGTCTGCCTACCAACTTTTAGAACAGTTCCCATGGGGTTTCTACCAGGGCTCATCTGTCTTCTTTCCCACTATCAGCATCCATGCTATGCAGAGGCCAAGTCCCCAAAACACTATCAGGAAAACGAGGGTCTGAGGACGCTCTGTCAAACTTACTAAGCACATCTGCCGGGTGAACTGGAACTAGATTTTTCTCTACACAAACTCTTTCCTCTTTGGTTTTCTTTTCTTTTTGCTTTACCCTGTCTAAACTCAAAAGAGAGCTTGCTGGGATTCAGAAGAAGCGAGGGAAGAGGTCTCTGTGGCAAAGAAGCAGTCCCAGTGAGACAAATGGCTTTTCATACTCCCTGGGGCACTGTTTCAAAGCAACCAGCGCAGATGTACAGCTTCAGAACAAACGTGAATCACTAACCAGACACCAGCCCCAGTCACAGCAAAATTAGGGGGCAGACATCACAATACATCCCACAGACCAAGGGAGTAAGGGGGGCTGTTGGCCAAGAGGGAGACTGAAGACAGCCTCACCAAGTGAAATGAATGTACCATACAAACCAAAATACAATCAAGAAGAAAAGCAAATCTGCAAAAGCCAGAAACAAACACACAAACAGGGTCATTATTTATTTAGGGCCTTTTCTGTCTCTGCCTTGATCAGGACACACATTTTATCTTCAGGCTTCTTTAGATTAAAAAGTCATTATATAAGCAGTATAAGAAAGCTCTATAAAACATAGGCAAAAGAAAAGGAAAGCATTATTGCTAGAAGTTTAGTATTTTTCCATCCTGATATGTATATGTGTGTATTATTTCTGGGGGGGAATATGTGAGTGAGTGGTATATGTATGGGGGGGTATACCTCCCAGCATACGTGTGTGTAAGGCAGAGGTCAACATTAGATGTGTTTCTCAGCTGTTCTCTACTTACTGACCTGGGGACACACTGACTTGGTTCTGGCTGTTGAGCTTCAGGGCTCAGTCTGCCTCCACCCCTTCTCTGCCCTAGCCCTGCAGTTACAGAGTGATACTACTTTTTTGCCCTGTTTTTACTTGGGTTCCAAGGCTCCAAACCCTGGTCCTTCTCCTTCCTTGGCAAGTGATTTCCTAACTGAGCTGTCTTCCCAGCCCCCATCTGAACAGGTTTCATACCGATTTGAATATTGATTTTATAGGGTTTTACTATTTCCTGCAGCTTCTTGAATTCCCATTTTCCAGGTCCTACTTCATTGTTCATCCAGTAGCTAGACCACAGTTTTCCAAACAATTCTCTTACATTGGCTTACTATATCTGTGATTCTAAGTAGTACTTGTAGTTGGTTTAGTTAAAGTTGCAGATGCTTGAACGTCTATTATTCACGAAGTTACGTTGACATGCCAGGTAAATTCAGAGGATGCCACTCATTAATTTCTGACTAGGTGAGTAGGCCATATGCTTGCATGGAAGGGGTTGCCCATATTCAACATGTGGACTGAAGTAGTTTTAAGTACACCTTTCTTCCAGGATAAGAGACCCCACCCCCACCCCCACCCCCAACAGTCTCCCTCACTTCGTGTGCAGCCCCTCTGCTTGGTTGGGCCTTTTTCTCCTGGTCCTGCTACCTTCGCTTGACTTAACAACGGCTTATTGTCTAATATCCAATGCTTTAACTGCTTCTTTTCTGCTTTGTAGCGGGAGATCTCAGCTCCTCAGGCAGTGATGGCAGGTGAGTCTGCACATGCGGAGTGGAGTCCCTGTAACTGGACGCTCTTTCCCACAGCTGACACCGATCTAAAGATTTCTTCTAAAATCATCTTGGAC